CAAAACATTTGGGAACTTATTTAGAGAGATCCCAACTGTGTATTGCCAATAATTACAAGCTGCGTAGATACAGTAAGCAAAGTCACTAAGTGCAGCTAATTCTAACCTAGTTTAATCACTTCTTCTCAGATACTATCAGAAACACTGCACTTACCAGTTGTTTGTTATGCTGTGGCAGAGGACACGGCTGGGCACCAGCTGGCACCTTGTACACTGGAGTTAGCGACAGGCTGGCAGGGTGGGCACATAGGAAGCGCACCTGCACGACCTCGACAGCGGGGCTGGGGTTCAGGACCCCTGGGTGGTTCCCGATTCGGAATGTCAGCACCTTTGAGGAACACCAGAGCACGGGTAACTGGGTAGGCACTGGATGCCAGCTGTGCCAATCCGAACGTGTTGGGGTGATTCACATTCTGCTGTAGAGTCCCTTTGACAATATAAATCGGGCAAATTCCTTAAAGACACCACAGTTCTCGGCTACCTGTGCTAAGAGAAGCAGGGGTGCTCTGGGGACACGAGGATGCAGGGAACATTAGAGAAATCGAACTGGCCGATTAGTCTTTTTCCTTTTTCTTTCGTTACCAGCTGGTACAGAGTGGAAAAACTAACTTGAGTTTCAACTCGTCTCTGGCGGAAGTACTAATGGACAACGATGTGGAAACAACAAGTTCGAGAGCTTCAAAAGGGGTGTTCGGCCTGAATTAGCAACAGCCAGCCATATGTACAGTAAGTTCACTAGAGGGTAAAAAGCAGCTCGACTCATTACAGCACAGGACTTATTAAGTTAAAATCGCCCACTGACTCCCTGTCCGCGGGTTAGCAGGGATGCGTTTCACTGGCTTTTAACTATTCCATATGGAACGCGTCGTGCATTCGCACGTCGCCCTGGCACAGGGCTGTGCTCAGCTCCTGTGTCGTCGCAGCTACAGTGCATGTGCTGCCGAGGCGAGCGCTCCTGGTCTTGGTGGAAGCGGGCACGGCTGTGGAGACCCATCGCCACCTCTAAACATAGCCAGAGTCAGCCAGCTAAGGGCAACACACTTGCTCCTGTCTGCAGAGATCTAACTGGTTCTTCAAAATTGCTAACTGTAGATGACACCAAATTTCCCTTCCTCACATTCTTTGGAGGTGGGAAACCATATACGTCCTAGTCTAGACAACAAGGAAATGAATTATAGTGATTAAGTGATGGAAATAAGCTCATGACTACAAAAAGACCTTAAACCTTTTAGTCAGTGAACTGTTAGAATTCTCAGATGAGCAAACCAAAATCTTTGGGTGTATTTAAAAAGTTGTCAGCTTTTAGAAAAAGATCCTTCTGACTTATTTCACTCAGCATAATAACCTCTGGGCCCCTCCACGTCGTTGCAGAAGGGGAGCACGGCACAGGGGACACAGCCAGTCATGTGATGGCTGTGTGCAGAGCCAGAGGACAGAAAGAGCAATCAGGGGGATCGTTTCACAAACTAAGTAAGTGTCTAACCAATGTACTGTATACTTGAAACTTAAAAAAAAAATCCTTTCATCGATAACTAGAATTTTCCCTAGCTAGTCCATAAGCAAATCCATTAGAATCTGAAAAGGAATGGCTAGAAGTACAAAAGATTCGGAGTATTATTATTGCTAAAAGAAATATTAGAGAAAGAACATTTTCCTACTTGCTCCCCTAAATCCAGGCACAGGACCCGGTAGATGTACTGGTTCTGCTTTCTCTTAGCTGGCAGCCGGACTTGTGTTATTCGGATGGTCTCTGCCTTCTCCATGCTCAACTCCAGGAAGAATCGGGACGGCTCCAAGACCCACGGATGAGGGCCCCCCTCGAACACCATCTCCTTGACCGAATGCCAAGTCACCAGTGCCACTTCCACGGGGTTTAGAGCCTGACGGATTTAAAGAAATCAATCCTCGATTGGTTAGGAAACCCAACAGTTTTCTAAAGTGAAAAACTGATTATCTGACTCTAGTGCAAATAACAGTAGGCTTAACTCCCAAACTAAGAAACATACACATCATGCCTGCCTTGTGGGATGCTTTTCAACCTCTGTACTAATTTTTATTATCTATCTATCTATCTATCTATCTATCTATCTATCTATCTTCTTTCTTGCATTTTCCTCTGTAGTAATTTAAGTCCTATCTATCATTCAAGCCTTACTCATGTGTCGCCGTACCCATTAATTTGTCTAACCACTCCAGACCACACCCACTCTTGCATCCTCTAAGCTCCTATGGTACTCATCTCGACCATTCATTTGTAGACTTGTTCATCTCCTAATGCTGATGAAATGTGTCAAGTGCTTCATATATGTCTGATAACTCTTTTTATGCTCTTTAGTTATGTGAACTTCTTCACAGAAGAGAGTATCTTATGCCCAAATTTGGAAAAAGAATTTCTATTCCTCGGTGGGATTAAGTAAATGTTGTACACATAGAAGGTATTGAGTAAATACTGAATATGCATTCTAAACAGATATTTTAGTAAAGTAGCAAAGAAAATCTGCCCTAAAAATAAAAAAATAATCTACACGGTTCATCCTATTTCTCAAAAAACCCCCGCCTAAGAGGTTGTCAGGACAGGCATTATTCACTCTAGTCTACAGAGCGCTGTACCCCATTTATAGATGAATGATGTATAAGGGGAATGATGTATTCTCAAAGTGTAAGTTATCTTTGTATGGCACAGTGTCTACGACAGTGACTAAGTCACAAAATACAGTACAGAGTTGAAGCGACTGTTCTAAAAATGTAAGAGAACCATGTTTTAGTATTTCCTTCCTGAACTAGTCAGTCATATTTATTATTCAATACTATTAAAGTAAACATTCCCATGTCCACTGACAGTTTCTCTTAAATAATGGCTGCGTAATTCGATCCAGCAAGTATTCATTGATGGCCCCTGGTATACAATTAACAGAAAGCCAAACAGGGTCCTGCCTGCGTGTAAACGTCTAATCATTATGTTGTACGCTTGAAACTAACATAACATTGTGTGTCAACTATAATTTTAAAAGAAATTTAAAAAATAAGGTCCCATCTCACAGTGGAGCTCTCAGCCTGGGACAGACAGACCTGAAGCGGGCACAGAGTGTGACAGTAACGAAGAGGCCGAACGCAGAGGGCCACACGAGCCTCTACTGGGAGAAATGGAGCTAGGCAGGTTTCACTGAAGGCCTCCGGAGAAGGCAAAACAGAAATGACTCCCCTTGTCTGGGCGTGTGGTCCAGGACTAATCGGATTGGCTGAACTGGAGTGGCATGCACAAGGACAATTGAGAACTAAACCGTGTACTGAAACACAGTATTGATGACAAAGGTAGAACACATTTTTTTTTTTCAGCAGGTAAAGGAAAAGTGTGTGTAAGCAAAGCACTAGAGAGAAAAAAAACTCGTCATCTTACTTCCTGCCCTTTTATTCAAGGGAGCTCTGAATTGTAGACACTTGATAAATATGAAATAAGGCCGTGGATAATGATAAAAGCAAGAAAAAAAACTAATGAAATGACGAGCCACAGCCAAGCACTTTCACTTAATCAGGCAATGAATTAAGAGAATGAATGAAATGTGCTTGAACCGCATGTTTAATACGCTACACAACGAGGTCAACTGAAAAGGCGAATTTCAATGAGAAAGCTATCTTTTCGGAATTAATAACTTGCTTCTTCCGTTAGCTGTTGACTTTCTCCCTGGGGGCGTCTCCTTAGGCCAGGGGGCAGTAAGGCGGGGTCTGTGGGTCTCTATCAGTGTGAGCTTACACGCATCAACTCTAGCTCCCAAAGAAACCAAACACGCAGAAAGCAGACCAGGCTCTACCTACTTTTATTCTGAACCGCCACCTGTCATAATGTCCCACTCACAATGGACCAGTTCTTAAGGCCCCAAATAATAACTGTTGTGCCGAAAATCCATGACTACAAAGGGTAAAGGTGGTTGACTTCCCTCCCTGGGACAGAATGGTCTCTTTCTGAGTTCTTCGAGAGAGAGTATACTAATATTTTACGTCTTATTCAGGGTGGCGCTTCCAGAGATATGTACATCTGTAAAAATTTAAATAGTACCTATATTTTACACATTAAAAAGAAGGAAGGGGACATCTAAAACTTGCTGCTACCACTTCGATGTTTCTGTGGCGGAAACTACAGGAGCAAACTCGGCGGAACTCAGGTCTGAGGAGGGAGCTATGGGCAGGAGAGAGGCGACAGAGAACACAAACTCCCCTGCTCTTCCTGGAGGTCACCAGAGCTGGGAGGCCCCACGGGGACAGCGAGGGGTCCCTGGAAGATATGCGGTGATGTGCCATGAGACTCCTTGCTCACCTTTAGGGGTCCATAAGCAGCGAACGTGGCGCTGCTCCCCAAGTATTCTTCGTACTCAGACACGCTCACTGTCACCAGGGTGTGGCCTACAGATTTGGCCACTATGTGTGTGCTGGAGCAGTGCTTTGGGCCACATCTTTGAACACCTGCAAATCAAATAATATGACTTCAGACGGTAACGGTTCTCAAGGAAATCAGTCTATATAGATAAAAGAATTTTAATACATTAAAAAAAATCTTGATCTCATATATTAATTACTAGGCCCCAATTGTTTAGATTGAGTTAATATAAAAATCTGTTCCTTCTATTAACAGACAGATATCATGTGAGACATAACTGTGTGTACTGTAAGGATACACACATGAGCAAAGATCCTAACCTCAAGGCATATGTAGTTTAGAAGGGAAGAGTGAACATTTACATAAATTAAAATATTAGAAGAAAATTATAAGCATCATAGGAGTCTAGAAAGTAGAAACATTACTTCTAGCTGGAGAGATCAAGGAAGGTTTAGAGACGTAGAAGAGAAAATCTCACTCGAGCTGACAAATGAGTGAACATAGAAATATAAACTGGTATAAATGGAATGCAATGTCAAGGAGGTATATGGGAAATTTAAACTTAAAGTAGTTGGTTTTGCCAGAGCCATGGATGAGGCCAAAGCATGAAGTTATAAAAGTGCTTGGTTTATATTGGATACTGAACTAAAAGGATTTTGGCTCTGTTCCACTGGAAATCAGAAGCCTCTAAAAATTTTTGAGCAGAAAGAATAATATCGAAGTTGAGCTTCATGAAGAGCCATTTGGGAGCCATGATTATCAAAGGCAAGAACAGCTAGGAGGATGTCGTTATGCTCTAGGTGAGAGATAATGAGGGCCTGAAAACGAGAGATACCCTGGGAACAGAGGAGAGGAGAGATACTCGCTAGTATAATGGGCAAAGGAGAAGATCAAGTTCACGGCTGCCCTGCAGATGTACTGTGAGAATTCAGTGAGTCAATGTATAAGAAGTGTGCGGAGAAGAGTCTAGCAAATAGTAAATGCTAAGTAAATGATGGATGCTACTGCCGTCATTAACACTGATGAAAATCAGCGGTGATCAAGGCCGAATGTGAAGTTCAATAACAGGAAATGATGTCCATCTTCACGAATAGCTTATTCACATTCTCTGTTTATTAGAAAAATATGTTTTCTCTTTGTTTGAACAAATTTAATATACACATATATTAAAATGGCACTATATTCCTCTTAGAAAGAGGCATTGTATGTATATTAAAGAGACAGAGGAAAAGAGCTTGAGGCTGGAAACAGAGACCTTAGCAGGAACTTAAAGCTGATCCTGTCTGGCCACCATGAACCCTGAACACGTTACTCAAGTTCTGTGCCTTTGTGTCTACGTTATATCACCTACTACAAGGCAGTTGACAGGACAAATAAAAGTACTGTAAAGACAAGGCAATATGCGAATTTAGACAATAATTTGTAGTTTCTGAATTGATGATTTATTCTTTAATTCAAAGACAAAGAAAAGAGAAAATACGAAGCCTCCTCTCACCTTCCTTGAGAAGAGCGAAGACTCCTTGCTTATCCATGTTAAGGTCCAAGGGCAAATGAGAGCAGTCTGTGAACGCAACAGCCTCTTTGGTCTCCTTATCGACGTGGTACATTGCGATGGGGACTTCTATCAGCTGGCCAATCTCCGCGTCGGCGTGAAATGGTAGCAGTTCCATTTTGTTCAGTTTCAGGACATGTATCTAGAAGGAGAAATTCATCTTTCAAGAAAGTTATGTCGGGAGAGTCTTAGGAGAAAGCACTCCTTGAATATTTAAACACACACATACATGAACACATATGTATAGTTTATGTACACACATATATACTATATGCTATGTGTGGGTGTGTGTGTGGCAGCAGCAGCAGGTGCTGAACATGTCGCTAGTTTCATTGCTTAATCGACTGATCTCTCTAAAGCATCTAATACCGTAAGGCAGGGGTCTGGCCAACTGCTCTTAGCTTTTGTGAGCTAAGAACGGTTTTTGCATTTTAAAGGGTTGTCAGATAAAAACGAGAATCAAGAACACGAGAGAGAGATCGTACACGGCGTATAAACACTACATATTGACTGTCCAGCCTTTTACAGAGAAGATTTTCTGACCTCTGATACAGAGCATGTCCTTTCTCTTGAGATCTATTTAAAATAGCTTTTATTTTGTCTTTGCTATAGATTGTTTGTGTCCCCCGCAATTCATATGTTGAAATGCCAACCCTCAAGGTGATGGTATGAATAGGTGAGGCCTTTGGGAAGCGAAGAGATCGTAAGTGGAGCCCTCATAAAGGGGAATAGTGCCTTTATGAGATCCCACAGTGCTCCCCAGTCCCTCCTGCCAAAAGACAGCCTTCTACAAACCAGGAAGCGTTCCCTCACCAGACACTGAATCTGCCAGTGGATTTCCCAGTCTCCAAAACTGCGAGACATCCATTTCTGTTGTTTATAAGCCGCCCAGTCTATGGTACTTTGTTATAGCAGCCCGGACAGACTGAGGTTGGGGGTGGGAGGGGTGGTGGTGGTGGTGGTGGTGGTGGTGTGTGTGTGTGTGTATGTGTCACTTTCCACATTTCTTCTGCTAGTTCCT